AAAAAAATATTTATTTTCAGCTGCCAATATCTTTTACCGACCGTAAGTGCGTACATTTCCACTCTCTCTGCGCTGTATGCATATGTCCAGTAATCAATAATTTTCCCAGCATAATAACCAATGATCTGCGCATGCGCGTTATCAAGATGATGTCATTTTCAACCCCAAAATAATATGTTGACTCCAAAGGTTACCATACGGGTAAGGAAGCCAATTGTACTCTAGGACATATTGAAAATGTGTTTTATATAAATAAATTTTTGAAAATTTTCAAAACCACAAAATGCATTGATTAATTAAAATCGCATTCTTTTGTAATTCAACTACGCATTTCCATTTTGGACATCGTTGTTACCCGTTTGGCAGTGTAACGGTTTTCACTTTTAGAATAATAATTGTTATAATTGGATTTACAAAATCCTGATGATATTCAAAACAACTTAAAGCTTAAACAGACGGCAGCGTTGATCGGGATTTAATCTGGGACTTAATCCGGATCAAATGCAGTTAATTCCCGAGTTGATCCAGATCAACGCTGCCGTCTGTTTAAGCTCTTATGAACCTTATTCTAAATTTTATCAACCTTATGCTGGATTTCCACTAGGCATTAAATGGCAAAAATGACAAATGACGAAGTCGGGCATTAAAAAAATCGTGTCATTACATTAAAACAATAGTCATTAAGTTCACTTCCACATGGCATTATTTTAAATGGCATTCATTTTTTGTCATTTTAATGCCTAAGGGAAATCCAGCATTAATCTAAAATTTTATCAAAATAGAAAATCTAAAACGTTTCATAAAAATTATGTGTATTTGAGCAGGTAAAGAGGTACCCGGCGAAGGAATCCAGTCTTAAGCTTTTTCAAGAAAAAATAAAATGTACCGCATTTTTTTAATTTTGAAAATGTCCACCGTCTTTAATGAATCAAAACTACGGTTGAGGCTAACTTTGAGGTTATCCATCCAATTCAATCGTTATTTTCTTCCAAAGGTACAGAATGCCTATCGAGCCCTAACCGCCAAAATAACGTAAGCTACATTTTTTTCAAATTTTTTTTTTTGATGCAGAAATATTCCTCGATTATCTAGATACATTTCTGCATCAAAAAGAAAATTTTGAAATAAATGTCGCTTGCGTTATTTTGGCAGTTAGGTCTCGATATGTATGATGCCATAGCACTAACTTTTGCACCCTAGACGACGGCAAATGGGAGTGCAATGATGATACGATAAAAAATTAAGGTGTTTATTGCCATTAGAGTGCTATGATAAAGGGCATTTGGCGAATTTTGATTTGCCCATAATTTTGTTTGTTTATAATTATATACATACATACATTACATATTATAATATATTTTAATGGATAGATGATAAATTTCAAACCCATTATCATGGGCCGGGCATAATTAAAATTTGTTTGCTACATTTAACACATGTAAAAAATGTTGGATTATTTAAAATATCGCTTTAAACTTTGTGGGAGGAGCAAAAAAGTTGTTTGCTTAAGAAATTTGGGGGTGATTTACTTTTCTAATAAAAAAGTTTTGTTTAAAATGCAATTGTAACAAAAATGTTAACTACCTAGTATTTTCTGAGTCCATTTTGATTAATAGCATCTTCACAAAGTCCAAAATAAAATTTTCGATCCTTGCCTGAGGTACCTGCCCAACACATTTATTATTATAAATTCGTAGTATATGCGAGCTATTCATTGTTATTCTGAGACGAACTATAAGTAGTTCACCTTGTTCTTCATTTAAATATGTGTTCAAATTAACCTATTTATGGTATTTTTATACGAACGAACGTACAGCCAAACATAGTTCACATTTCTCCTATTAATCCAAGGTACCTATTTAATTTTGTTGACATTTCTTAGCAATCGAAAGTAAATTTCATAAGTAAATCAATTTCTGTGGAGATGTGTATGTAATTATTTGCGAATAAGCGATGAAATTAATGAACCTTCTATCAATAATTTTTAATTATACTATCAAATGTCGATGATATATAGAATCTTTCGATACTCCAAAGCAATCGACCCAACGACCGTCGGGTCTACGTTACCGGATTGTGTTCGTCAGCAGCATTCTCCAAACAATATTTACGAGCAATAGAAAGGCGACAAATGCTAGTGGGTTGACATGACCATTGCAATTGCAACTGCGACAATACATATGTTTCCACATTTACCGTATGTACTTTCATAGATGTGTTCGATCAATTCACAGCTAATTAAAGATGATCAGTTCTCTCCAACAACAATAGTTCCCTTAAGGACATACTTCTATTTTAGGCTCGAAAATTTAACATGCAACAAATTTACTTCCAAAATAATGACAGCTTTAATACTGTGCAATGTATTTTTATTACCTTAAACTAGTACTTGTAGTAAAGAACTAGGTAGGTTAAACACGTAAGCTTAAAGTTAACTTTTATGTACATATGTATTGTATATTTTTAATATTTTCAGAATACATCGGCGGAAGACTTAAAGCACTTCGGTAGACATTGATTGGGCACACTTTCACAGTGATTAAATCCATAACTAACGTGATATTAGTTTTGCAATATGCAATTACATATTTATATACATATATTAAGTACATGCTTATATGAATAGATTTGTAATATGTGCATATGAAAATACGTATTTACAGTATACGCATGTATGTATATCATATATACGCCCAATTGTCGACTTTTACTCAAAAACAATTTGTTCATAATATGTGCATTACTTCACTAATGACTCATTAAATCTTGTTAATTCATTTTCTCTATTCTCAAACAAGCCAGTTGCTATTGCGATATGATGAAAACAGACATGACACCAATTAATTGAAAGTATTGTTAAATTTTACCTGCAGCAAGAGTCGAATGAAATCTGAACGTCTATAAACCGGTGAAAACAATATTTATATTTTTTAGTAGTTTTATGTAGAACAACTTTTTTGCTCCGAAAAAATTCAAGACGTTCCAAAGAAGCTTCGACCAAAATTTATGGAACGAACAAATTATCTGACCGAATTAAGTAACCGAATACACTGTAACGAATGAATTAAGTAATTTATTGACAAAAAGAATGCCAGATAGTCAAGAAATTTACAACTTTTCTAGCATCAAGGAAAGTAGAAGTCTTTGGGGTGATTCACAATTCGCTTTTTATAAAACATGAATACTCAATCTGGGAATTATATTTAGGCAAAGGACGTAAATCTATAATACTATGTCTCCATTGAGAGATTTATTCATTAAGATTTAATAAATCCAGTTGCTAAATCACAACCGTCTCCATTACCATTACGAGATATGTTTGACGTTCACATTTTTAAATATTTGACGTTTGCTTATGTATGATTTTACAAATACAGTTGCGGACATTGATATACAGACAGATAAAAGGAAGGTACCAAGCGGAATTTCATTATATGAACTCTGAATATTATTGGCTTCTTATTCGTGGTAAATATGTATGTATAATATATAGTTTGGAAAGTGTAAAGAATGGTACCATATTCCGAATCATTTTCCCGAATTTAAGAAAAATTATCAAAACGGTAAAAAACATTTGCGGAAAGAAAAATTTTTGTAGAACTCTCTTATTCATAGGAGGGAACCGAAAATCCAATAGTGGGCCTTTGGCATATCATGAATACGAACTGAGTTCTAGAGGATGTTCGGTGCAATGTTATCGAAGCAGAACTATTACCGAAATTTATAAATTTTTTGTCCCAGCGCGTAAATGACTTATAGAAAGCGGAGAATACTCTGCATGATATTACTATAAAACATTTCTTCTAAATTTTTAGTTTTTAAAATAATATTTTCTTAATTTATTACAACCAAAGTTATGTAAATATTTATTACTAATTTTCCTCCCAAACTAACAAAAAAATATAAAAATCCCTAAAAATACGAAAATTCATGTATATTGAAAACACAAATGTCATTTGACTTATGGCATGTGAATTTGTGGTTGCCACATCCAACAAATTGTACTTATTGATCAATATTATTGAAGATTTGACGAAGATTTAACTTAAATCTACTGCCTTTCGAGTTTTAATTTTATATGATAAATCTCAAAAGATTTAACGTCAAATCTCGTCAGAGGGCTAAATCTTCATTAAATCTCACAATGGAGACATAGTATAAGAAGCGACAACACGCTGAAGTGTATCAAAACAAAGCGGTAAAATGGCAAAATGAAATTAAGTTCCTTGGGCATGTGCCAATTGATATCAAAGTAGCCTGCATAGTAAATTTTTGACAACTGTGAGGGCGCATGGGTGTCGAAGGAAATAAAGAAGCTGATCAGCTAGCCTAGACCCCGACACGACCGAAGCCCTTCCTTTCGGTGGATGCTAGTACGATAAAGGAGGCGCACAGGGATGAAAACAATAAACTGAGGGAACTGCATTGGCGAAACATCATGGAGCTTCGTCAAATCAAGAGCTTATTATGGGGGTACAATATAAAAACATACAGGCTAACTGGTCGCAGTGCTTACCCTACTCATATATCTAGCTACTCGCTGTGCACCACGGATCTATATATTTAGCACAAAAAGATTTTTTACCAAAGAATTTTGCTAATGATTGGCACAGGCCCTTTGTTTTCAGTTTATAGCGGTCAAATTGTTCGTTACGTTTTGGGGCAAAAATTTCCAAAATCTTAAAAACAAGTACTTCATACTTAAATACCTTAAAAAATACCAGCTCGGAATTCACCGAGTTCCAAACTCGTGTTACGACCAGGGTAACCCACTCATTTCTGAGAACTCCCCGAGTTCGATAATGAAATTAACCGATTTTGCCCGAAATTTCGTAAAATATACAAAAAAACACAAAAATTTAATGTACTTTGATATACTGCCGGTCTTTCTGTTTATTTTAATTTTTAAATGTATTTCATCTATGTATTCATCAACCAAACCAAACTTTTATAAAGTTAGTTAACAAATAAAGAATGAAAAATGTTAATATAATATTAACATACATACAGTGGTCGAACAAATTTTAGTCGCAACAATTATCTTCTTTTTATGATTAATTTTAGTTATTTTTTATAAAAATGCATGCTTTGTGCAATATTTGAAAAATTACAAACTTTCCTAAAAATTTTGAGCTTTTTAATTGAATAACCTCATAGCTTGTTTCATAGCTTGCATCACCCTGTTGTGTTTTTCAAATTCAACACAAGGCTTTGCAATAAAAAAATAAAAGAAAAAAATTATTTGGTGTTGCCGGTTTGAGTAAAGCGTTCACAAAAATGAAGTTGGTTAGGTAAATATAATTACGAATATATTAGTGTTTAAGATTTTTGTTTCTACATAAACGGAAGTTAAAATATTATCTGCAAGTTTAATATGAAACCCGAATTGCATATACTGCCTGTAACGCACCAAAGCGTGTTGTGAATTTAGCAAGCGGCGGGAACGTTTGCGGAAGTTGTCGCACAACGCCTTGCCTCTCATGTCGTTTTAAGCATGCTCCAAACGTTTAACTCAGAATAAAATAAATAGAAATTTATATCGTAAATAGCTTGAATGATTCTGGGCAATAACAAATATTAATAAAAATTAATTTTCGCGGTCTGTTTTTAACCCAGCGAATTCGAATAACATTCCTAATCTCTTTTCAGATTTCTCATGAAACTAAGTCACGAAACGGTGACCGTCGAATTGAAGAATGGTACCCAAATCCACGGCACAATCACAGGAGTTGATGTTGCAATGAATACACATTTGAAGTCTGTCAAAATGACAATCAAAAATAGGGACCCAGTACAATTGGAATCTCTCAGTATTCGCGGTAACAATATACGGTATTTTATACTTCCTGATAGTTTACCCCTCGAAACACTGCTCATCGACGATACACCGAAATCTAAAACGAAGAAGAAAGATAGTAGTCGCGCAGGTAATCGTGGCAGAGGACGCGGTACGCGTGGTCGCGGTGGTCCACGCGGACGTGGGGGGCGTGGAAGAGCTTCTGGTAGACGATAAGTTTTTACAATACTATGCTGGATTAAAATAAAATAGAAAAATGAAATAAGGAAACTGGACCTTTGTTAATCGCACAGTATAACATATTTCGTTTAGAGAGGATTGAAATTGGAATTTTTAATAACGAAAGTCTAATACCATGCGTAAAATATCCTGTACATAGTAAATACGCATAAAATAATGAATATTAAGATCGTGATTACAGCCATTTGGTGCGATTTATCTTTATGCATTGCTTTAACGTTTTCCTTGTGTTTAATAATTTCTGCTTTTAGTGCCAAAATCTCTTCTTCGATTACATCACGTAACGTAGGATCTATGTCAGGACCCTCGAGTGCATCTTCTAGCCCACGAATTCTATTTCCCAAATATAATATCTTGTGCTCTACACCATCTACCTAAAACCGAATACAAATAGGAATAACGAATGTTTAAAAATATGCAATTGTAAAATATCTAAGTAAAATGCGTACTTGTTCTTTTACACTACAAGTCCCAGGGTAATGTAAAGGTCGGTGGCGGAATTCCATATTAATTCAATTATACTGTTTCCTTTCCCTTCACAACCTTGCGCTTTGTTAGAAAAAATACTAGTACTGGAATAGTTTGTAAAATTATTATTTTTATTTATTTCTTGCCAAACGATAAATATTCATTAAAGACTTACAATGAGTTTGAGCTCTAGTTTTGTTTCGACATGCACGTTTCTCCACGTCCTTGCTTCTCTTTTCTTAAGTTATAAAATTGGTAATAAACAGTACGCAGCCAGTAACAACTTTCTCATGTATGTATATATGTATGTACATACATGCATTATGCTTTAATGGGGAAACTAATTTAAACTATAGAAATTTTCCTTAGAAATGTTAATTTTTTTATTTAACTTTAATTTACAGAGTCGTTTTTTTTTAAATAATTTAAATTAAATACATACATATTCATTTAATGTATTTATGATGCTGTGGTTCTTTCAGTTCCGAAGACTTTGACTAGATATACTATACAATTAATTTCAGGGCCTTTGAATATACATATTTGGATATTGGCAGCTTTTGCTTTGTTTCATTCGAAAAATCGGATGTCTTAGTTCCGCTTTCTGTTCATATAGACTTTAGCCGTGGCATATAAAATTCGTGAGCAAATATAAATATTACCTAAAGCGCATCCCAGCAGTGCACCTACTACATTGGGTATTGGATACGCTTGCCAATCACGGTCCCAGTCTAAAGGCGCAACTACAGAGCCAGCCCAAGCACCCAAGATTCCTCCTAAGGCATTGTATTTGAACAACCCGAGAGCAGTCTCCTCACTTTTTGTAACAGAATCGGGCTTTTCACAGAAACACACCTGTAATGCACCTCCTGCTCCTAGTAGAAATACAGTTGGAGATGCTGTTTGTAAGGTGAGCAAAAGCGCTAGTACAAAGGTTTGTTCATAGTTTTGCAGTACAGGTGCTCCTAATATAATACATACAAATGCATACAATAACGTGCATAGAAATTGTAAAAGCAATCCCCCACAAATTTCACGTATAGTAAAGTAGGAAGCCCTTTTTTGTCGCTGTTTTTGTGTAAGCGCATTATCATCCGCTCGACTGTAATATCGTGCAAGTACCACCTTGAGAAGCTCCCCGGTAAATACAATGGGTACAATAAGAGAATTCCAAAGGTTACCGACATTTGCCCAATTGCGCTGAAACTGCATATAAGTCATACAGACGAGCACCGTTGCCAAGCTTATAGACAAATGAAAGAGCTGATGTTTAGTTTTTTGCTGATCGAATTTCATAGCGAGTTTACTAGAAAACAAAATAATTATTTTAATAAGTTTGTTCCACACGCTTTCCTGGCTGTTTCGGTAATTACAGCGTAACAAATAAGTGTCAAAAATGTGTCAACCCGCGTCTGCGTTGCCAAACTGACGATTTCGTCGTCATTTTGACGTTTTTTATAGCTCAACGACGATTGGACGATTTTTCCACCGTTAAGGCTGATTCACATATAAGGTCGGTGTTATACAGACAAACTTTTGTTTGCCAAATTAAATGGCGGCTGCTTAGTTTGCTCGGAGGTGGTTATGTCGAGTTTGGCACAGGGTTGCACGTTCATTATGGTTTTCATGGCTATTGCCAACACGAAATGAGAATTTCAGATGTACATAACGCGCACAATTTAAAATTTTTGTATATGACAACACCGAATTTGCTGCAGTTTGACCAAACAAAATTAGTTTGCTGTGAGAGTCGCCAAACTCGCTCTCTCCGAGTTTGCTACAACAACAATTGCACGCAGTTTGCCAAACAAAATTTCTGCATAACACCAACCTACCTTTCTTCGCATTGCTTGATAGTTCTTTGCTTTGACGTATAAGATCGATGTAGGCATATGCATGAGTATGCTCACATAAAAAACGTTTGAAGCAAAGCAAAACGAAGCAAAATCTTGGGCAACTCTCAATTTTTGCCCGCTTAAGCAATCAGCTGCCTAGATGTATCTTTTCTCGTGCGCTTGCATTTGCATTTACAGGTCTATTCTGCGCTGGTAATAAAAAGTTTGTAACCAGTAAATAAAGTGCCTGTAAATTTTTAAACCCTTTTCGCATTCTGTGTACTCTTGTAACTGGTAAATTTTGTTATCATCTCATAAGCTGGTAACAAAGTATCGCCCCGTGAAATATGCAATGCCAGAATCTGCACAATGCTTAGCTGAATTGCTGAACATTTTAACTGGATTATCAACGAACCTAGAATCGCGGTGACAAGAAGTGGTAACATTTTTTGGTAATACAATTTTCCGGTTACAAAATCTTCGGTAACGTGCAGAATAGACCTGTTATTAATGACAAAAATAGGGTAAATAGGAATTATTATTGCTATTATTAATGCATATTATTATATGGTTATCTATTTTACAGATAAAAAATATGGAGGAAAAGGAGAACGCAAAAGCTGTCAAAGCGTTTATTGTAGCATACCTTCTGCGTTTCACGCTTTGGTTGTCAAAGTTTGAACTGTCAAGCAAAGCGAGGAAAGTCTTATGTAAATGGCACTAACCGGCCGTCTTCACGTGCTGGAAAATCTCGCTTGCGTGACGACGCATGCGAGAAACCGCACGTGAAACGGGCTTTTACAAGATATGCATTTGCATATGTAAATGCTACTTGTTTGTATGTCCCCGTATATTAAAATGTATCAGAAAAGTAGCATTTACATATGGGTATACATATCTTGTAAGTGCTCATCTACACACGGCGATTTTTGTTGCCGCAACTCGACGTTTGAAGGAGAGAGCAAGACGAGGAAAGGAGAGGGGCACCGAGTTGTTCGTGCTCGGGCAACACGCTTTGTGCTCTCGTTCGTCTGTGTAAATTGAGTTTTGCGATTCACAGCTGACACCAACAATTGCATACACAAAAATCGTCGTGTGTAAATGAAATGAGCAACACCAAAAGGGAATGTGAAAAATCGCGTCGACAAAAGTTTGCGTGTATAAACGCAGTCTAAGAATACTGTTCCATTAATGCATTTTTGTATGTTTGAAACATTGGGTAGGTTCAGAAGGCTCAGTAGTTGAGCGCAACCGTTGCTAAAAAAATAAGTAATAGGAACGCGTCTTCTGAACGGCTTGATACATTATCTGTCAAATTCAAAACACACAACATGTTGTCTCAAATGATCAGAAAAATATTACGATCATCTAACACGCAACTGTTCAGTTGATCAGAAGTACAAAACAACGCGTTCAGAAGGTGCAATCGCAACAGTTACTGAGCTGTTGCGCCTTCTGAACGTGCCCATTAATACAGCCATATGCATACAGCAGTAGTACAAGTGTATGATTAAGGAACGCATACGCTCTGAGAAACCACGCGTGCTAAATGGAAATGAAGGTTCATTTATACTGGCATGTATACACAGCAGCAAGCTCATGCCACCAACAGCGATGTCGTATGCATAAAATTTCTACTGGGAGTTTAAATACCGCAGTATAGCAGTTTTCAAACATTGTATTGATACGTTTTGGAAGTCAGCCGTTTTTACAATTAGGGCCGGTTGTTCAATGTCTGGTTATCACTACCACTACACTATCGACGATTTCGACATCATGCATGTAACATGTGATCGATAAAGCAGTAGTTGTGCTTAACCGGAGCTTCTACCTCCGATTTGCGCTAATCAGACATTGAACAACCGGCCCTAAATATAGATACTTAAGATAGATAAGTTATCGACGTTACAGACTCCCTGTTATATGCATGGAGTCGAAGTCGTCGATAACGATGTTTAACCGCCGATTAGTGTTAACCAGACATTGAGTAACCGGCCCTAAGAATACTATAAAAATATTTAGACATTAACAGATCTATTCTGCGCTAGTAATAAACATTTTATAACCGGTAAATAAAGTTCCTGTCAATTTTTAAACGCTTTTCACATCGCTCAAATTTATTGAATTTTAATGCAATTATCCACTTTTTAATAATTTTCACAGATTTTATGCAAAAAATACTAATTTTTAAGCAATTTTAATGCAAATATTAAGGGTACTCATATATACGCGCAGGTTTCATATTTGGGCAATTCGGCAACTTTGCGCCATGTGTTTCATGGGGACAATTTTATATTTTATGCAATTTCTGACATTTAATTATTTGACTATACCTAATTTATGAAGTTGAACAATTGAAACTCGAATTTGAGTAAATATTTAAGTCTTACCGCAGTTATTTCGAAAAAGCGTTGAGCACAAACCAAAATGAATGTAAACAAAATATCTGATTGAGGGTTGCACAGCACACTGCGCAAAGTTGCGCTACAAAATTTCCGCGCTAAGTTTCCCTTTTTGTGCAAATGGCTTTCCATACAAATTTTGACATTTCATTTAGGTAAATTGATGCAACAAAATGCTTTAAAATGTGTTGTCATGTTGAATTAACTCTTCTTTACTTGAATAAAAGTGTAAAATAGTGGTGCTTGTGATGTAAACAAACGCTCAGCTGACGAACCCGCTTTCGCAAACTTTTTTCTCAAAACCAGTTACAAATACAACGTCGCGTTCTTACGTGATCTTGTATTTTTGGTTCATGCGTTTTTCTAGGCGATTCAACATTGCTCCAGAAAAATCGCTCGTGTTAAGGGTGATTCAAAAATCGCTTGCCTCAAAGTAGACAGCAAGTCAACTTTTGCAGGCGATTATCGCCTGTCAAAAAATCGCCTCATGTAAAGACAGCTTAAAGGGCGAGGCGAGAATTTTAGGCTGTATCTAAGGCCCTGTCTCCACAGGAAAACACTGATGTCGTGATAACTATGTCACAAAATATATTTCCAATGGGGACCGCCTATTTCTCATGTGCTGCAATATATGTCAGCGCTTATTGCTTGACATCTATTGCAGGCAATTCGATAGTTTGACAGCCATATTTTCATTTGAAAGAAAGCGTGCTGGTGGTAACATCGATGAAATTTTTATATTAAATCAAAATAAAAGTCTTTTCCTTATTGGATTATTTATGATTACGTTTTAGGAAATTATTCAGCAAGTTTTTTAAAGATTTAAATGTTTTTAAACACCGAAATTGAGAGAAT